CACCCGATACGAGCTGCGACATTAAAGTCATTGACCAGTTTTGGAAAAATGATGCAATATGTATTGACCCGTTTTTGTATCACATCCAACATGTGTTTGATTTGCGTCCAGTAGTCATTAACGCTATTTTAAGACCTACTTTTTGTGGTTAGACTCATTAACCAGGCGACAGCGCCCAGCAACATTTTTTTCTACAAACGACTGTAGCGCCAGGTTACCCGGCCATACATCCAGGGGCAGATCAAAGACTTTACAGGGGAGGGGGGGGGGGGGGGGGGAGGAAGCTTGAAATAAACGAAATTGCGAGAATGAAGCCTTCAACTGGATGCGGTCCCCGGATAATCTTAGCCTTTTGGCAGATTCTGAGGCCTATCCAAATGCTTAAACAGAATATGTATGCGAACACATTTTTTTCGGGAGAAAAAAAAGGGGGGCGTGCGCCTCCCAGTACCAGGCATCCACTGGATCTGGGCAGCGTTTCATGAGACCGTCATAACTACAAGTTCACCGACATCCCATTGAAACGTGTGTTAAACTTAATACACACATTTCAATGGGATGTCGTTGGACTTGTACTTATGACGGTTTCATGAAACGCTGCCCAGATCCCCGACACCGAACACCTGGGGAGGTTTCACGAAACCGTCATTAAGTCTAACTTTTTAGACATCGTATTGAAACGTGTGATAGAGATCTAACACGTGTTTCTACCAAATCTCCACGAGCTTAGACTTATGGCAGTTTCGAGAAACTAGCACTCGCTCTGAATCTGGCGCATCCACGGCCACGCTGGAAGCTCGGATCTGACCCGCCTGCGATGCATGCCCCGGACGCGACGGCAGCCCGCTCTCGAGCTAACTCTCCATCGCATCGTGCAGCTGTCTTTCTTCTCTTTCACGAACACGGTTGCCCGACTGAAACAACTAGACCACATTAGTATCCTGACATCAAGATAGGTCTCTATTATGTGCCCATCCGTCTGATTAAGGTAGGTTCTACAGTAACACCGTATTTTATTCTTTTTTTAAATAAATCTAACTTGCACATTCAAATGGAAATAATAGCCCTACCAGGTGCGCCGGGCCCGCCGCTCCCGCCCGGCAGGATACCTAGACTGGTGGACATCACGAGCCATGTCCCTGGTTTTGCCCACACATAGCTGCATTACTATCCTGGCTGTGCAGCTGTGTATTAAAAACTGTTCATATTGATTTTCAGCATTTCAAACTACACTGTACAAAACTCAACTGATTTCACTCAAAATCGGTACTTTAGTGATAGTTGATGCCCGCCCCCCCCCCCACTCAGTGTTATTTAGGGTATGCATATGCGTGTTCCCCCCCCCCTTTGCAGCAAAAGTCCGGTGTGTAAAGTCCCTGCCCCCCCCCCCCCCACTCAGTGTTATTTAGGGTACGCATATGCTCGTTCCCTCTTTTTGAAAGCACCCCCTATCTGAGGACTGCCAACATTTTCGAACCCCCCTTTCGCGGGCTTTTCACAGGCTTTTCCTGCCTTGGAGACCCCCCTAAATCAGGAAAAATGCTCAATGCACCCCCCTAAATTCAGAATAATTTCTCAGGAGTCAAAAGAGATGAGAGAAAAAAAGAAAAACACCCCCTTTTTAAAGAAATCTCCGGGTGAAAAGTCAAATACACCCCTTTTTTTACAATTCTCGGGCCGGACTTTGTCGCACGAAAAGTACCCCTTTACCGGACATTTTGGTAACACGCATGCGGTCATTCCGACCCCTGCGTGGGGGGGGGGGGGCCGGTAAAGTCAATACGGGTCGACCTTTTTCTTTTGTTATACAAGCCTTTTTCAGCAAAAGTCCGGTGTGTAAAGTCAATACGGGTCGACCTTTTTCTTTTGTTACGAAAAGGACATTTTGGTAACACGCATGGGGTCCATCCGTTCTCGGAGTGGGGGGGGGGGGGGGGGGGGGCCGGGAGTTGATGACACCTAAATAGCATACAATTTTTTCAACTTAGGTCTATGTTATAGTTATACTTAGAGATCTAGAATCTAGTCTATAGTCATATAGATCTAGACTAGAAAGAAAAATTCAAAAATTCAAATCGTGAGTCTACTGTCAAACTTGCTAATCAACCACTTTGTATACATTGTGTGCATTAGTGTGCAATTGTGTGCAATGTGTTCATCGTGTGCTATTGCTGCCTCTCAGCACGTACATGTAACAGCGCTAGAGGACAATACGCCTAAGCATTGACTCTAGCCTTGCTGGAGTGGTTTTGCCCTGCAGGCCTGGGTGGAATACGATATAAAATATCAAAAACTGTGACTCTAATGATTGCATTTTAGGCGTGGACTTTACGTAAGGTAGCATATGACGTTCAAATCAGATTTCTTAATAATCTTGCCATATGACCCATGTGCATCAACTTTTCACACGTATAGGCTACTGTCGGTGTCATCATGCATCCTCAGCTCATGGTAGCTGCTAGACGCAGGTTGTAGATCTAATAACATTGATATCACTTGGCCTATACCCATCATTTAATAATATTCAATCTGAGCTGTATGGCCCTACGTGTTATCAGTGCCTGTGATATGGTGTAATATTGAAGCCCTAAACAAAATTGCGCTTCAAAATGATCATGATAGAAATGCCTCAAAGAAGTAAAAATCTGTTAGTTTGAGTTACCATTTTTACCATACTCATTTTCCCCAAAAGACTGTAGTGTACATGAATGTAATAAAAAACTGTTAGGTAAACAAAAAATAAATTTTGATTTCCAATCATAAATATCTTGATAATCAGACAGCTAGGCAATCGGCTTGTAAAGTCATGGGATTCCTGACTGACCTAAATGTTTGTAATCATGATTGCAGCATGAGCTAAATCCAGGAGTTTTTTTCTTCAGAATCTGAGGCAATGTTACCGAGCCACTTAATTGATACCCGTACCCCTATCAAGACTGATAATTGATATAAAACAAAAATTCAAATTTGTTCATAATAACCACTAGAAGTACCCACACTAAAATAACCTTACCCACTGGTGGTAGCTGTTAATACTAGTATGATTAGTATTACTATACTGTAGGACTAGTAATATAAACTCTTCTTTCTTCTCATACAAATCACTTTAAAATAATACAAACATTTAACAAAAAATGTAAATATTTGATACTGGAGGGATAGCAATTTGGTGTGTCACTCTCGATATGGGTGCCAATTAAGGCTTAGTGACATCCATATCATATTTCATGTTATCACCTAGCCCTAAGGCTATTCTAACCAGTCTAGCGAACAAGCTGTTGGTTGTCCCTGTTCTGTAATTGATCATCTTGGTTGCACTCACATTTATGGAAGTTTATGCAAATTTATGCAAGTTTATCCAAATTAATTGTTGACACTATTGGGACCTTTATGTGACTGTAGTGGAATTCACTGCTGCAGGGACGGATCCAGTCTGCAGAAAGGGAGGGGGCCGGCTGAAAGGGGGCCCAATTCGTGAAAAAATGTTGAGCACCGAGTTAACACCCACCACCCCCGGCCCCCCTTTGCTCCCCCCTTTCTCCAGGGGGGCGTCTTTTTTAAATCTAAAAAAAGGTTAAATTTACCTGTTTATGGGGCCAAGTGAGGGGGTCCCGCGGCCCCCCCCCCCCCAATCTGGATCTGCCACTGCACTGCTGCAATAGTGAAAAACAGACACCATAATCTCTCTTCTCACAGAAGATTTAATATACCTAATGTTAAAGGGAAATCCACCTTATTCTCTAGTATTAGCAAACTACCAGTGGAAGGCTGAACAAATATAAGAAGCACAATGGGGACAATTTGATTTAAATTTAAATCAGACTAAAAGTGACAAAGTTACATGTACACATTTTTGAAGTTGTAAATTTGTAATCATTAAAACATGTAGGTATGGGCTCTTCAAATTGGCTGAATCAGTAACGTCTATAGGATGTAGTGGCGGACAACTTTTCCATTTGTTCCAACACACAGAATGACTAAAATGTAAATGAAAAAGAAAAAAAACATGTACATGTATGACTCAGAAGGTTCTTTATATCTTAAGAGGACCTGTAAATAAACTGATAATTTCCACAAGGAAGAAGGCACTTAAGATTATGTTTTGTATACAACAAACAGGAGAGTTATCCATACATGTCTACATCATGTATTTCAAACTTTTGCCATTCTCTTTTTCTTACAGTGTATTTTTTTAAAACCCAATTCAGGGACTCTTCAACTCACACATGTAATGTAATTTATGCTACATGTATGTTTCAGAGGTGAAGTAGACAACAAACAGAAGAGTTATCAATGTCTACATGAATGTACCAAATTGCCAATTTGAGATTCACATTTATTTAGTGATCTCATACTTCAAACATTCATAACTCTTAGTATTGGTCTGATTTATTTCAAACTTTTGCCATTCTGTTTCTCTTACATTGTATTTAAAAAAAAACTCAATTCAGGGACTCTTCAACCCATACATGTATTGTAATTTATGCTACACGTACATATTTTGTGTTTCAGAGTTGAAGGGAAATTTTGAATAATTTTTTCCTCATGTACATTTATATATCTATGAATGGTCAATCCCTGCTATTAATACTAGAACACAAGACATATTGAAGCCTCTTCAACAGGTACATTTTGTAAAGCTATGGTGGAGTACAACTGCTGTGAGTATTCTCAAACTTGTGTGTGAGTTTTGACAAGGGAAATAAATCACCAGCCCCCCCCCCCCCCAAAAAAAAGCCTCAAAATTTCACTTGATCAAGGTGACAGAGATCCAAGTTATGGAATTGTATGGAAATAAGATTCTAAATCGTGAAAAGGATTTATTTTTTTTATTTGTGAGATTTTTCTGGTGTTTTTAAGTACGCTTCAACAAAGAGGTAGGCCACCACCAAAATTGACACATCCCCAATTATTAATGATTTCCTGTTCTTTGGATGCTTCTTCTTTATAAAAAAAATGGAAGGTATTAGTGGGCAACTTCTCTGTGCATTAGTGAGTTTATGTCATTTTTGTTTTCTTACATTTTTATGTAAAACATGACCACCATTCGCAGTCATGAGGTGATATGAATGAGAAAATAAAGATAAACATAGTTGATTGTAAACATGGAGGATGATAACATTTAAGATAAAGAATACATGCGAAAAAGGTGTGAAAGAGAAAATGAGTGAAGGAAGAAGAACAAAGATAACTGTTTAGATACAAATGAGAAAAATAAAGGCACACACAGGGAAAGAGAGAAGAACCAATGAAAGAAGACAAAAACTGAGTGAAAAGTCATATCCTATGTAGACAGAAATAGGGGAAAGTGAAAGAAGAATATAAAAAACAGTATATGAATAGAAGATATTAAAGTAAAAGATAAAAGAAGGATAAAATAAGAGAACATGAAGCGAGGACAGAAAAAAGAAGAAAAAAGATGTAGACAATAAAAAAGGAATAACATAGAAAATGAGAGAAAGAGGAAAACAGAAGGAAAAAAAGACTAACATAGGGTTATCTCAATAAAAGGAGAAATTTAAACAAATAATAAAACAGAAGAATAGAAAACTGTAAAGTGCTGCATGATATTGAATGTAAATATATGTCACAAGCTTTCTATCTGGGCAGATTTCTCCTGGGTACATTTTGAAATTCTAATCACCTACTCGTCATCACAATGAAATGACCTAATGAATAAAATGATGTGATTTTTTATTTTTCTCATCAATGACGATTCATTAATTTTCAGATTTCCTGTTCTTCATCCCAAGTGTTAATATTTGTATAACCGATTTATGTTCTATAGTATTTTGCTCCAAAGTTACTATCCCGTTTCATTCTATAAAATGCACGATAAGCAGACTCTAGATTTGTGCAGCTACTTTTACATACATGTACATGTCCACTTTATTACCCCGTATCTGTAGCTAGATATTTGGGATGCCAATTTGAAACAAAGTCTGTCAAAAGTACCCTCCTTAATACCCTATTTCCAATGACACCCATGTACCTTTATTCCTGTTAGGTGCTTAACATTGCACAAACTTAAAACAAAACAGTACCTGGAACTTGCAGCTGCAAAGAGAGAAAGAGAAAGAGAGAGAGAGAGAGAGAGAGATATTTAAAGAGAGAGAAAAGGAGATCATACATGTATGAGAATAATAAACTGGAAAGAGTGACTATTATTGATTGCAAAAGTGACTGCAATTATTTGTCAGTAAATAAATGAAATGTAAATTACTTTGGTATGTAGAAGGAAAATTGTAAGGTTCAGAATTCAGAATTATTTTCTAATCTGCCCTTCTCTATCACCTCTGCATTAACATCATCACCCCTTTTTAAATATCCATCTGATATCCCTCTAATAGAAAACTGAACAGCTTTTGAGCCATAATGCATGGCCATTCAGAGGATTTGTTTATGTTGGGGACCGGGGTAAAATGCAATAAATTTCATTTTCTGTTTTTTATTTTGTTTATGGAAACTGCCCCCTATCCTAGCCCCCGCTTCGTACAGTCATGGTTCAGTGACAAAGCAATGGCCTCGTAACTGTGAGGCCCCAGGATCAAAACCGTGTCGATGTGCTATATTAGTGCCCTTTTGTGGGGCATTAATCCTCGTTACTGTCATTTATGACTTAAGGGCGTAGGTCCCCTATTTGATAAGCATAGTAGCATACACATGCTTTAGCAGTCACGCAAAACACACATTGTCAAATTATTATTCAATAAAATCGGAGAATGGATACTATTATCTAGATCTATTATTTTTAAATTATTTTAAAAATAATTCCATAAAGTGGGGTAAAACAAAAATATTCCAACTATATGAGCGACAGTGTATAATGTGAAGCATCCATGTTGCACTTTCTCCCTCTTCGTATTCTTATGCCATTTTAAAAACTATTTATTACAAATCTTTAATATAGTAAGACCCTACATGTACATTACATGTACATGTGCACATATTTTCAGAAGAGTCATATTATTGAGTGGAAAATACAGCTTTTCTATTCAATTTCCATTATGTTCTATAGATTAGGTAAAGCTAAATTAATTAATATAATTTGAGTTAAAATACATGTTTCTCTGAGGATCCAAAACCATTGAATACTATTGATTACCTAAGATTTAACTAACCATGGTCAGTTATCTTTCATTACCATAATATTTTGCAATTTGTCTGAATTTGTATAGAAATAAATGAAACTAAAGTATAATTTGCATATTAAAAAGATAATGTTTTTCTCCAACAATAATCAGCTGATTATCCTTTATTTTTGTTTGTTTGTAGTTGTTTTTTATTGATATATTTTATTTATTTCCTGTACAAAGATATTAATTGCATAATGTTTTCTCCTTTAAATGATTTTTTTTTTCTATTTTGATCCAATTTCCAAAAGATTACCCCTTATCCCTACAGTATATGCAATCTCCTACATGTATATACTACATGTAGCATTAAAAGTTGGCCAGTCTTCCTTTTAAATTTATTGGATTTTTGTTTGTGTGTGTCTATGTCAAAGTTATTCTTATGCACATCTATTTTTCATTTATTCTTCAACTCTGGTATGATTTCCATTCAGTTTGGTATATATTGTATACAGTGTACATATTACGTAGAGCCGTTCCTTGGTTTTAGCGGTCTATGGTTTTAGTCTTTAAAAGAGGGTTGGGTGTGGAAATTTGTTCCCCCCCCCCCCCTGTGTGCAAAATTAATGACTGCTGTGGATTGCAACCTGTAAGTTTTACAGTGCACATCAACTTTATAATTAAGTTACCAAAGTTGGAACTGGTACATTTTTTTATTATACGCACTGAATAGTAACTTTGAGACTAAATTTGCATAAAATCTGACTGTCCATACATTTTAGCAGTAATTTATTGTTTCCATTGTTGCAATGCCAAATGAAATAATAATTATAGCTTGCAGTAAAATCTTAGGATTTTTGTTTTTCTACAGGGTGTCTACTGTCTAAAAAGAATATGCAACAATATTTTTATTGGATACATTTTAAAGTTTTAAACGGTACTCATCCATTCATTTTGTTGGCAGTGCTGTGTTAGTATTATCTAAATACCATTTGTGTACAAGGAACAATACTACCCCACAAACTTAAGTTAGGATTGTTTTTGCTAGACGTATCACATTTCAAATGTTAAAGATAGCATGTTGCATGCATCAGTGCACAAGAATACTGTGGCTTCTACATTTTAAAACAAACTTTCAATTTAAGTCACTCTTATTTCTTGGAAACAATACCATCATTGATTTGAAAGAAAATAATATACTTATTCATGCAGCTCTTCAAATATTTATTTCAAGTTAAGCAACAACTACCAAACATTGATTTTATATCATCCATTTCAGCAGATCTGCATGAACATGTATTAACAATACCTACATGTAGTTTTTGTATTGTATATTATTATGCAGATTCATATGAGTAGAAATGTATATGTCTTGGCAGCTCCTGATTCAATTATATCCTCTCTCTCTCTCTCTCTCTCTTTCTACCTTTTTATCCCTCTTTTCTTTTTTTCCCTTTTTTTTACTTTCAATCACTCTAGCTACCTCTCTCTTCCCCTTTTTGATCGCAGGAAGTTGCAATATTGTTATTATGTCACTGTAATAGTTCTGTATAAATGCAACTTTACATGTGTATACTTATACTTAATTGTAACTATTGCTCTTACCCAAACTACAGTCTTCTTTGGAGCAAACTGTCAGACATTTGCGGTAGTATACAGCTGAAATGGAATTTCCGTTCAACCAAACAGTATACTTCAAGGCTATTTCTCAGCGACGAGGGTTAGCTCCAGGTAGCAGTAGCAGGTACATGTAACAATATCTTAAAAACATTTACTTACCTGTAAGTCCTTTTCATGTGAAGATGATTCAAAGTACAACTATATTTATTTATTGTATAAAATGACCTGCTTTCATAAAGTCCTCTTGTGAAATCTTATGAATTTGAGTCCAATCCCCCCCCCCCACCCCTTCCTGTTTTTCTGGCTTCTATGTATTCTTTGAGCCAGCCCTTTGACGTATGCTTAGATCTTTTAAGTTGCAAATTTAGAAATTGCTTTCTTCAGTCAGCAACATAATGCATGATTCACATAGATTAGGGATATGTACCGGTAACCCATAAGATATAAGAACAAATTGCGATAATGAAATGAAGTGTGGAAGAGAGGATCTGAGCTAGAAGACTATAAGGAGAATGCAGCCAAGGCTAAGCAGCAGGAACCAGTTTGGGCTTCACTCAAGACACAATATAGTTTTTGCAATGAGCTGTTAAATACTGGGTCTTTCCTTGCAGAGTAATAAGGGAGCAAGAGAAAGACCATCACCATGTATACACGTAGCAGAAACACAAAGCAAATAAATTTGAGACATTTTATGATTAATTATGTAGGAAGCCAAATCTAATTTCAAACGTCACTTGTCATCTTTTATGTGATAGATCTACAATTATCATAACAGTAATGTTTGTAGCCTTAAAAAGAAATTGCAAGAGGAATGTCAATAAATAAAGTCTACACCATTCACAAGATGCTAATTTGCATTTAACACCATTCCAACAACTTTCAAATCAACTCCGGCAATTATGTTCTGATTCTATAATACATCTTTGTAAATACATCTTTGTAATGTTTGCAAGTTTCAGAAGATGAACCCTGCAAGGCCATCAAAATTACGACAAGAGTTCCATATGTACACGTAACCACCACTAAAATTGAAGGAAAAAATATGGGTATGCTGGGTTAGGATTAGGATGAGAGTGAGGGTAGGCTATACAGCTGTGCATCGATTTTAGTGGGGTTATATATATGGAACTCTTTCCGAAATTGCCTGTAGTTGATTTTTTTCCTTTCTCTTTAGGTAGTTGCAGACATGTTGTTTTGGTCATTGAGTTTTTTGTCTGTAGTTTTTCTGCTTTTCTCAAAACCATCATTATATCAAGGTAGACTTCCCCTTTGATAACCAAGTTTCATCAGTGTGTGTAGTGAACATTCCCTCTTTTTCCAATACACTTTCGCAATATAATTAAATAGTTATAGATTAATTGTAATGCATCTTTGCAAGTTCATATTTTCATGTTTTCATGATTTGATTTATAACTGTTTTAATGCTAACCCTGATGAAACAGTACTGTAATTATTATGTACCTACATGTAATATACACTCACCCATAAACTTTATCATATTCAGGAGGATATCCTGCAAATCTATGATCATGGTTCTATTAAACTATACAATTTTCAATTAAACCTCCTTTACAGAAAGGGGAAATCAACAAGTGGCACCATTCATGTTTTTTTTTTATAACTTATATGTGTAGATAGAAAAAATGCCTCACAAGGCTTTTCAAGATGATGTGGTCATTACCTCTTAATAGATTATATGTCAAAGTGGTTACAGTATGAGAGAACCTTTTCCACGTATGTAGGAGGATAGCCTTTAGATATATATTTAAAATTGAATTTCCAATCATTCTCTCTATAGATAAATGTACAGTATATAAAGAATGATATCTAGGGACTTGATAATGACATGTTCGATAATAATCAGTTTGTGTTCTTAATTAGATGCATTCATTCATTCCTAAAAGAAAGGCTTTGGAGCATACATGAATTTAAAAAAGAAGTCTATCCCACTTTATTTGTTACATGGAGGTTAAAGAATTGATATGATTTTAATTTTTTTATTAGAGACCTTTTGTAAAACCCTGATAGAATCAATTTTGATTTGTTTACGCGATTGTTGTATTTTTACCATTCACGCTATCATTTTCTTCTTTTTCTATGCAGGCTGGAAGTAACACACATGTGCAGTGTTTCAGTCGAAAACGAATACCACCCATTCAAAATCGGTTATAGGATCTTGTCCATATGTCCATATTTTTGTATGCATGTGAAACATGGACCATGACAGCAGACATTAAAAGAAGGATACAGGCACTGGAGATGAAATGTTTCCGCAAACTCCTCAGTATCTGGTATAGAGATCACATAACCAACGAGGTAGTGAAAATCAGAATTGGAAACACCATAGGGCCGTATGAAGACCTCCTGACTTCAGTGAAAAGATGCAAAGTAAAGTGGTATGGGTATGTCACATGATCATTTGGACTGGCCAAGACTATTCTACATGGAACAGTACAAGGAGGGAGACGAAAAGGCAGGCAGAGGAAACGATGGGAAGACAACATTAACGAGTGACCTTGACTGAAACATCATACTTCGTAAAGCCAAGAACCACGAGGAGTGGAGGAAGCTGGTAGTATAAATCTTCAGTGGTGCCCCAAGGGTCAGCCAGACTGTGGGATAGGTGAAGGTGAAGGTGAAGGAAGCTAAGAATCAGATAGTTAGACATTATATTGGATCATTTATCCTTTCCTTCAAAAGGAATGTTGCTTTATACTGTAGCACATAAACAATGCTTTTTAATTGGCAATATTTCAGTTCAGTACGCTTGTTATTAATTTCATCAAACATTAAAATGTAAAAGGGAGAAACACTGTCATTTGAAAATCAAAATGTAAGTCATAAAATTTCACTGTCTAACTATCTGAATCTTGTCAGGATCCATGTACGAGTTAGTGCAATTCTTTTCTCTTCACTACAACCGCATTGTTATTTACTTTAATAGCATGTTACTAGGTACATCAATTGATGAGAAAAAGCAGCAAAACGCTTTAAATTTGTTGTAGTCTTAAAATTAAAGTTGGAAGTTTCCTAAAAAGGGAATTTTAGAACACTCCTTCAACTGACATGCACGGATGTTATACTTATGAATTTCCATACATTAATGTCTTTGTAATGCATGTTACCAAACAAAAAAAGTATCATCAACCATTCTTGTCATTTCCTGTGCAATTATTTTCACATCCTGGCTTAACAGTACATAAACAGTGCTCTTTTATTTTCAATATTTCAGAAAAATGCATTTGCATTATGATACATGCAGGTATAGTTGGTCAAGTAAGAATATATTTACAGCATGCTCACTATGAATTGATTAAATCGCCATTGAATCTAAAAGGTATGTTATACCTCATTGTATATTCAGAAGGAAAAAGTGTGAGGATAGCTTTAAAAAAAAAAAAATCATGAGTATCCATAATGATGTGAATATGTACATGTTTGTTTGTTGCATATGATTCTTCCTTGGTATCAAAGCTGTAATAATTGCATATTTATGATTCAGCATAATACTTTGTTCATTACAAAAAAAAATATGTCATAATTTTCCAAAACGGTAGTGTAAAGAATAATGTAAGATTGAGGTAAGATTGTTACATATATTCTCTATACGTATCAACTAAAATGTAAGTTTTCAAATGAGATACTATTTTGTCCCCAGATGAAATAAGTAATGGATCTTTTTTGTTAAATGTCAGCAAATGATCTAAATGAACATGTGTTCGGGTATATCAAATCTTGTACATGTAGTTTCTATAGCTAATATAGTTTGGAGGACTTAAAGATAGAAAAACTGCTGATTGATTAATTACCATTGTTTGTATTGTTCACTATAACCAGCAAGTAAAGGGACATTTAGTAGATGCCAAGAAAGTATTTCCAAAGCAATTACATTTCTCTTATCCTGTAATGTATTTTTTGCGTCAATAAAAGCAAATGTGAGGGTTGTCCACATAACATCACAACTACAGAACAGTTTAATTGAAATTAACATACATATTACATGTATATATGTGTATTATGGAATAACTTAGAATATTTCATAATTCCAGTTACATTTTTACCAATGTATTTCTTCAATATTTCTACTTTTCCTCAGAGCATATGCTGTGAACTAATGGATATTCCTTGTCAGTTCCATCATGTTATGTCAATGGGCTTACACTGTATGCGTGTACATGTCCTTTTTGCAATGTACATGTGCTACGAAAATGTCAACAATATTGTTTGAGATATAAAATATAGAGTTAACAAGTGAATTATTCATACTCCTTGTAAATGTGATTTTTGGGGATGCATTTTTTTGTAACTTAAGAATGAAAGGTTGACTGGGTGAATTAGGGCCCTTTTAGAAATAAATGTACATGTAGTTGTAACGTTTTCAAATGGATGAAAGTTTTACGGTGTAATTGTTGAAATCAAGAATTTTAAATTCTGTTTTCATGTTCTCACAATAGTTGTGTTAAAATTACAATAAGAAAGTTAAAACTTGTAAAAATATGCCACCTTGAAAATGGACTAGACTGAATAATTTTGAATTTGTAATATCTATGACAATTATCAACTGCTTCAAATTATGAACCACAGCATTAAGGGTGGTTTGCAGTGGAACTTACATGATTTGCATATTTAATATCAAAATTTAAACTGTAAGCTAACTTTGGCAGACAACACCGAATTCATTGAAAACTTTACTGTGAATAGATGAAGATGATGATGATAATAGTGACGATGTTGGTGGTGATGATGATGATGGGGATAATGATGGTAGTAGTGGGGATAATGATGGTAGTAGTGGGGATAATGATGGTAGTAGTGACGACGACGATGATGATGGTGGTGATGATGGTATAGTAATGATGATGGTGGTGGTAATGGTGGTAGTAGTGATGATGATGATAATGATGGTAGTAATGATGGTGGTGATGATGGTGATAATGAAAGTTGTAATGCTGTGTGATGTGTAGTGATGATGTAGTAGTGATGATGATGGTAGTAGTGGTGATGATGATGGTAGTAGTGGTGATGATGATGGTAGTAGTGACGACGATGATGATGGTAGTGATGATAGTATAGTAGTGATGATGGTGGTAGTAGTGATGATAATGATGGTAGTAATGATGGTGGTGATAATGATGATAGTGATCGTAGTAGTGGTGATGATGATGGTAGTAGTGATGATGGTGGTGGTGAAAATGATGGTAGTAGTGATGATGATGGCACCAAGGGTGATGGTGATGATACATGTATAATAATGATATTTATACAATAATATTAAAGCATGTACTAATAATATCCCACTCCTTAAAGCAATTTCCTTTATCAAAAACAAGTAAACTTATACCTTTTAATGTGCATTTTAAATTCAAATGTTTTGTATGACTAAATCGAAATAAGTACATGTAACTACAGAAAAAAATAAACCTTGTCGTGCAATTCAACAGGGAGAGTCATCATTGTCATCACCAATGTCATCATCACCCCTCCCCCTCTTCTCTCTCTCTCTCTCTCTCTCTCCCTCCCCCCCTCTCTCTCTCTCTCTCTCTCTCTCCCAAGGCGGTATAAATCACATGAAGATAAATGTTTGTCACATTTTAACAATAAGTTGATCGGCATTGATGACCAAATAATAATCACCATAGTTGTTCAAGCAATCAATGTACGAGAAATTTTGTGAAAAAATAGCTTAATATTCAGGTGGCTTAGTGAAATTACCGTTACTTGCCAGATCAAAAGCACCATTTTTGGTATAGTGCTTCCTTAGGACCTACTGAACGATAGTAGGGTAGGAGCCTCGGCAAAAATATCATTTAAGGGTGTGGGCGGGGGCGTCGCCTCGTAGACCACATAAAATTCATAAGGTATTATAACATTGAGATTTGTAGTACAGTCATCCTTTTTGGTACAGGGCTTCATTAGGACCTGCTGAATCAGTGGTGGATCCAGGGAGTGGCCCGGGGAGCCCGAACCCCCTCCCCCTTGAGGTGAAAATTTTTAAATTTTCGACACTCCACCCCCCCCCCCCCCCCCCCACTGAGCGAATTTTCGGCCGGCGCGATTTTCTAATTTTGGGGAGCAAAACAAATTTAAAAATAGTGCTCACTACCCCCCCCCCCCCCCCCCCGATCCGCGCCTGTGCTGAATGATGGTAGGGTAGAAGCCCCCGGCATAATTATTCATATATGTGCGATTGGGGGCCCCATGGGTTTCACAAAAACCCAATGTTATATTATCTTATAAAATATTTGGGGGCTACGAGGCGACGCCCCCACCCACACCCTTATATGATATTTTTGCCGGGGCTCCTTCCCTAATATAGTTCAGAAGGTCCTAAGGGAGCCCTGTACCAAAAATGGCATTTGTACAGCAACAAATCAATGTTGTAAAATTATTTGGGGGCTCCAAAAAGACGCTCCCGCCCCCACACCCTTTAATCGATTTTGTTGCCGGGGGCTCTTAGCCTAATATCGTTTAGTAAGTCCTAACGAAGCCCTGTACCAAAAATTGTGCTTTTATCCAGCAAATAACGATAATCGATAAATTTGACTATATTCGGGTATAGCGGCGACTAAACAGCTTTGTAAAAACTTCTTCCTTTCATTTTGTTGTTGTCTTTTCTTGTTCTTTCTTTTCTACACTTTACAATGAATATGTCAAATAACGCTTCATATAGTAAATGAGCCTGAAGAAAGAGACTATGAGCCACTTGCGTAGTTCAATTTCTTTATTTGCGTCGATTGCAAAAGAGTCAATAGAGGGCTTTTTCCACTTTAAACAACGGTACGTAGTCTCATAATTCTGTCGCTGTAAAATTGGAAGTAAAATATCCGAAGTAACTGAGACAAACCCCTATTTTTTTTCTTCAAATTTATCTTTAATTTTGTTTTGCAGATGAAAAATTTCGGGATGGGTCGCATATCATGATTGTTGAATAATAACAACACTCTCTATCATGATATTTCAAAGTGCATGTGTATTTACGTTTTTAATACCAATGGTTTAAAAAAAGGGTACTTTTCCGCTTTTTCTTGTTAGTGTCATAAACTTATCAATTGGCTTCATTTAAAAGAATTTTTTAACAGTTTTGTTTGTTGCATGATGCCTAATCTGCAAATTATTCATCAGGATAATCTTCCATTTAAAGAAAATATTTGTTCTTCTTGTTTTGACATTTGATCGATGGTCGTCTAATCGGACATATACAAAAGGAGCGGGGGTTCATTAATTTTTATTAATAACATCAGCTAAAACGGCCTATAGGGCTTAACTGCAGAATTATCCACCATCCATGATAATGAATTAGGGTTAGGATTAGGGTCAGTGACAGGGGCTGGGTTAGAAGTAGGGTTAAGCTAGGATTGGGGTAAGGTTAAGTGTTATGACAAGGGTTAGGGGTATGACTAGGGTTAGGGCAATTTTAGGACTACGGTTGAGGTTACAATTAGTGTTGCTCTGTTCAACCCATGCAGCTCATTTTGGATTACCTAGAAATCCTTTTTTAAGCAGGTTAAATTTAAGATTAAATAATTTGAAAATATTAATACATTGAGGATTGCCGTCTTTATCCAATTTTGTTTCCCTGATTATCAAAATTAACTATTTTTCAATCAAAATGCAATTGTTGATGAAAAATTCAAAAAAATATCCATACTGCCCCCCCCCCCCCGTAACACGCATCCAACACAAATTATCCCCCCTTCTGAATTTGATCGCCGTAAAGTCGATCGATCGACACAAATAAGGAAGTGGCGGGTAGCATTTTATTTAAAACATCAGGCAAACTGCAGAATAATCCACCATCAATAATAATGATTTTAGGGT